CTTCCACCAGCGTGAGCTGGTTTATTGTCTGCTCGGAGCAATTATGGATTGGGATAATTCCTGTCGTGCTGTTTCATTGTGGAAGGATCCGCTGTGCTCCCTGGCCAAGGTAACTTGAGGTGATTTGTGCTGCTGAGTTACTGCCCATCAAGTTAATTAAGAGTGGGTGGCTGGTGCCCTGACTGGTGTGCTGGGACAGAAGGATCAGCGGAGGCTGAACCCAGGCGTCCTCTTGGTGTGAGAAGTGTTCAAAGGCGAGTTTGTTCAGGGGAGCAGAGGCTGGAGTTTGGTTCATTTCTAGGACCAGTTCATCTTTATTTGCTGGTTGACAGAATGTTGGCCGCCGCATCCTCCCTCTGAGGGTATGGGACCCTGTTGCTGTGTGTGTGCAGAGGACAGGGGTGTCCTGCAGGAGGTCTTGCCTTCCTGGTGGAAGCTGCTTGCTCTTTTGTTCACTTTTCACATCTAAGAGGTCATTTGGGTCCTTGTCCTGTGCTGCAGTGATGAGAGGAGGAAAGTCTCCTTTCCTCGCTCTGTGTGGGCTTTTCTCTTAGGAACTGCTTTGTCTTGCCGGGTGGAGCAGGGAAATAAGATGAAAATGCTTCTCTGAAGTTTGAAATGAAGACTTCTCCTGGGCCTTGCACATCTGCAGAGATCAGAGCCCCAGTGCTGTCGTGCTGCCTCTTTGAACCGGGTATGGGGAATTTCACCCCCGGCAGGAATATACACCTGGCTTCACAGGAGAGGGCTCAGCCTGCAGGTTGCAAAAGTACCTGCTTATTTTTATTCCTTTGATACTTGATCTACTATCAAAATAACTTCTTTCTTTCTCTTTTACATCCTAGGAACCCCAAACAAACCTGTCACAAGTGATAATATACACTGCTGAGGCACTGCCAAACCCCTGGGAGTTGTCCATGGACAAAAGGGGTCAGGTCATTCCTTGCACAGCCCTGCAGCCACGGCCTTGCTTGGTGCAGGTTTCTTCTGAAGACATAAGGGTTTAGACCTGCAAGAGGAACTGCGTGGGTTTTGCAATCCAGATGCTCAGGTTAGTAACAATGTGTTTCTGCATTCACTTGATAATTAATAAATACAAATGTGTGACACTTGTAAGCACTTGCCAAAGCTGTGATGGATGTGGTTTTCCCACAGTTACTAACCTGTGGATTAGAAAGCCATGATTTTTATTTAAGAGCACACAATGAGGACAGATTAGCCTGAAACCGTAATGCCATCACATGCTCTCAAAATCCTCCATGCCAAGACCTCATCCAAGCTCAATACAAGTAGCAATGAGCTTTTCTAAAGAGGCTGGATGATGAGGAAGTGTTTTTTCTTGCTGGCTTAGAAACTGTAACTGGCAGAGTTAAATTTCTGGGTTTGCAGGTATACATAAACCATTGGCATTTTTTAAGTTATTTCCTCATTATTGAGCTTGGCCTTCCATACCCACAGAAATCTCTGTGTGTCTGCACTGCACCTGACACAGACAAGTCCTCCTGGACCCACTTACTAGAGCTTCTCTTGGGTTTGATACTAAGCCCATACCCTGAACTAGGTCAGCATTTGCCCATTTCCCAACATTTTCTTGTCTAAAGCTTGACTTCATGCTTTCTTTGCTATTCAAACCTGGCCTGTCTGAACTTTTGGATATCCTCTTCTGCAAGAAATTGATGGTTCAAACTGATCTGAATGGACAGAAAGACTTTACCTCTTTCCTACTGCAGGTTGGATCCTGGGAAATGCTATTTGGTGGTGCAGGGGGCAGGAGACCATAGAAAGCCACCTCTCTCCAGCTCCCCTCTGCTCTTCCTCTGGTTTAGCTGAGGTTTAAAGGTCTGGAAATACATCCTAAAGTTTCAAGGCAATCTTCCTTGTGTCATCCCTTGTCAGGCTGAGTTCCCAGAGCAAAAGGAAATGGTGGTTGTTCACAGAGCGCATTTCCCTCAGCATCACAGTGATGGCATTTGGGGACCTGGAGAAAAACCCTACCTTGCCTCATGGGGAGGCAGAGAGCAGGCAGAACCAGGCAGCAACTCTTGAATTGGGATGCTGTCCTATTTGAGACAGGCTCTCCTTTTCTGCTGAAAAAATTGCCTGGATCAGAGTTTCACAGCCACTCCTGCCATCCCAGCATGCACTAAGCTGTGAGTCAGTCACATTAGTTTTCTCCATAGCTACCTCGGTGCCTGAGTGGATTATTAGAGTCCAGGGTGACTTGGGAGACAAATGGTAGCCAGCATCCACCTGCCAGCTGTAGATGGGGTCCATCCACTTCAAGGTAATAACATCTCAGTCATAGAATCATAGAATAGTTAGGGTTGGAAAGGACCTTAAGATCATCCAGTTCCAACCCCCCTGCCATGGGCAGGGACACCTCACACTAAACCATCTCACCCAAGGCTTCGTCCAGCCTGGCCTTGAACACTGCCAGGGATGGAGCATTCACAACCTCCCTGGACAACCCATTCCAGTGCCTCACCACCCTCACAGGAAAGAATTTCCTCCTTATATCCAATCTGAACTTCCCCTGTTTAAGTCTGAACCCATCCAGACAGGCGCCCAGCAGTAGCATCCTGGCAGGTGACTTGAGGCCTCCATCAGATGGTGAGGTAGTGGAGGTCTCCAGAGACTTCTCCTACACAAGGCTGGTGTCTCGTATCCCTTTTCCCTTGTGTTTTTGGCCCTTGGCCTGCCCACTCAGCTTCCCTCCCTTGCCCCTGGCTCCTGAAGCAGCCCCGGGGGTTGTCACAATGTGTGCAGGTACCTGCTGAGTGCCCATCTGCATTTATGCAGATAGTCCTCCCAGGACCTGATGGCATTTGCAAGTATGCATTTTGAGAGGAAATCCCCTGTTTAAACATTGGGTGACATTAACTGCGTCTTCTTTGTGTTCCCCCATGTTCCTGAGCTCCCTTCACCAGCCTTGGCCCCTGAGACAGCTCCGCTGAAAGCAAATATGTCAGTCTTCACTGCAGAGGGAATATTTTCAGGCTCTGAAAACAAAGTTTATTATAGCAAAGCTGCCAAAAGCGTAACCACTGCCATGCTAAAATATCCTCTGCCTCCTACATTTGTAATGTGGGAGTCTTTTATATCCTCTTTACTGCTGCTGAACCATACATTTGTATTGGCAGCAGATGTATATAGACTGGGACCTATTTCAGTGTCATACAAAAGAGCTTTTAGGTTAAAAGATATATTACAACTTACTGGAAAGCTTGAAATTAACTTTGTGATGATGCCACGTGAAGATAAAGAACCAGCAATTTATTGAAGTGTGATTTTATCCATATGGGCTGAAGGGTTGAACTGTGTTCACGTCTCCAAAGGTCTCTCTTTGCCAAATTAACTGTTGAGTTTTGGGCAACTGGCTGGAGACAGGAAAAAGAGACCTCGTTTAACCATTCCCAGGAAAGCACTGCTTCCTCCTCTCCTGTATAGGAGCAACCCAGAAAGAAGGCAGCCAAAACACAGCCCCTGCTTCAGCCATTGCTGGCCAGCATGAAGGCTTCAGGGAGGGCATCCACTTCCCTTGCTCTCAGGCACAGTGGCAGGAAAGACTCAGTTGATCTCTATGAAGTTCTGCTGTGGTTATTATTGATACCAAGCCCATAAATGTTAGTGCTTCAGTGGCCAAATGGCCAAATTCCTCTGCATTGCTGACAGGTCTCTTACAGCCCCTGGATTTAAGCAGCAGCACTGAAGGTGTCCTTGGACGGCCCAGGATTTCCTCGTGTATTTGGCAGTGGCAGGCAAAGAGTTAACACTGGAAAAATACGGGTAGGTTTAGGGAAAGGATTTTGGTTTAATGTATGTTTTTTGCTTCACATCTGAGCTCTTGGCACTGCGTCCCCTGCCTCTAATCACACCTTATAACTGCAGTTTAAATCAAAACCCGCAAGGCTGGACCAGTTGGATCCAGTTTCCATCAAGCCATTTGATCTGTGACTGAGCAGACTTGCTGTCACCAAGCCAGTCCCCTGCCTGCGCCTCTACAATGATGAGGCAGCCGCAGCTCCCCACTCAGTGCAGGGGAGCCCATAAAATACCCATCAGGATACATCCCCCTGCAGCAGCCCTCTCCTCCCTCCCTCCCTCCCCAAGGAGGAGGCTCATGCTGGGCTCTGGAGCACACCTTAAAAGCCTTGGCCATTTAAAAGGTCAAAAAAAAAAAAAAGAATTCTTTCTTTTCTTGTATTTTCTTTTAATTTTCAAGTTGAAGCAAAATCCCCTTTTTGTTCCTCACTCTAATTTGTTTGAACATTAACCACTTGAAGACCTTGGTCACGGATTTTGCTGTTAAAGGCACTACACAGCTGTGAATAGGTACGTAGCTGCCTTTAATAAAAGATGAGATCTCATTCTCCCTGTGGCTCGTCGCTTCTCTGACAGAACATGGGTTGGAGCCACAGCTGATAAAATTGCCTGGGCCCTGTTTTGTCTCTGCTGATACCAGTGAGGGAGCTGGCTCCTGATTTTATAGACTAAAAGAACCCCTCACTCTTTATTCTTCAAATGAGCACCCCCACTGATGCACATATTGGCAGTCAGGATTGTCTCAGACGCAGGCAGCTTCAGCCCCCTCTGCCCTCTCCTTTGCTGCCCCCAGGAGCCCTCACGTACGCAGGGCAGGAGGATGGAGGGAAGCGATGGCTCAGCATCCAGGACTGCACCACCAGGCTTCTGGGTTAGCTTCTTCTTGCAGCCATTTTGAACACTGAATAAAGCAGGAAAAATAGCATGCAGCCCTCCAAATAAATCCCAGCAGTCTCCTAACTCAGATGTATTTGAAAGCAGAATTGCAGCTGTGACAGGGAGGGAGTATATTCGGTAGAATTTCCTGCTTTTTTTAACCCATCTTTAAAAAAGCATTGGTTTGGGTGGGAAGTGAGTTTGGGGGAAATTCTTGGGGATTTATTCTATTAATGGGATTTTTGTTTTTCTTTCCCTTCATATGTCACTGAACCACACAAGACCGCTGCAGACTCCAGGCTCTGAATCTCCATTCGTGGGCTCTGAGCTCCTGACATTGATTTTACCACTGCAGTAATAGGGAAAATTATGTGAATTGGTGGCAGAAGCAAGTTACATGGTGAGTGGAGAGAAATACAGCTCTGGAGCCAGGTTACTGCTTCAAAGAAGGCTGCAGCAGGTGACGGTGCCCAGCTCTCCCGGCAGAAATGACTGCAGTGAAATGACCCAAGAGGTCCTGGTTAAAATTAATTGTGCTAATTAATGGAGCAACTGTGGAATTACTGTTTTGTCTGCATGTACTGGCTCTTAGTCCTCCTTTCCAAGGGGAGAAAGTGTCATTGAACCCATTTATTGGCAGTGTCGGTTCTCCAAAGCAGAGGTCATCACTGTTGGTGTCCCGTCAGCTCTGGGATACTCATTGCAGGTGCCTGAGCCTCAGCTGAGCCTCAGGACTTCTAGACCTTGTGACAATGTTTTTTAGAGGCAGAGAACTGAGAGAAGGAAATGTTCTGCAGAGTTTCTATGTTAGTGTCTGCAGAAGGATGGCATCGCCTTCCCTCTGCCTGCTGTGAGCGCAGGATGGGGACATGGTGCGGGGTGGCACCTGCGCAGGGAGGGCGGGCTGGGAGCACAGTGTGCTTCAGGCCCCTCAGAAATCCCACAAACCCAGATCTCCACTTCCCCTGCACGTTGTTACGTGCAGCAGGTCAGGTCTTTCTCTGGAAGTCACCGAGCTGGGGATCAGCCACGTAGCTGACGGAAATTCTGCTGGCCCATGCAAGGGGTTTTGGGGTGGGGATTCTTCTCCAGCCAACCCATTCAGGAGAGAATAAGCTTTTATTTTCTTAGCCATCACTTTTTGCTGCCTGTGTGAAGCTAACAATGGCTGGGTATTCCTTTGAGGCTGTAAAATAAGCTCATTCATCCTTTCTGTTTGTTGTAGGGAGAAAAAAACAGAAACAAAAGCAAAAAATCCACTGAGCTACTGTTTGCTTTCTAGACAGTGCCTGTGGTATGGTACCAGCAGCCAAGCACTGCTCTGGGTCAAACATGAAGGCAACGTGCTGTTTGTGTTTGCTCAGCAGCACGGATGCAGAGCAAGAGAGGAGGCAGGAATGTCAGTGGGAGCCTTTTGTGGGCTCCTCCTCACCGGGGGGAGCCTCCCTCCCCCTGCCTGTGCTGGAGCTCTGTAATTTCCAGCAGGATCATGTTAACCACAGACCGAGCAGGCAGCAGGGCTGGGGTTTCAGTCCATAGCCACCTTCCCATTGAGTCAGGGCTGAATCACCGCCCTGCGCTGAGCGCAAAAGGCCACGGGGTGCTGGGAGCTCAGTCTGCATCAGCTGTGGGGATGGATGGGGGATGCTTTCACTTGGCTTGTGGCAGCGGCCTGGTGTTGCGTGGCATTGAGGTACGGTGGAGGCTGCAGGGGGAAAGAACAAAGTGACATCTTTGTCTTTAGAAGGAGAGACAGCAAATGAGTTGCCCGACTCCCTGGGAAAGGGGTTGGTGGCGGAGTTTGGGTGCTGCCCCAAAACTTGTTGCCAGTGGCAGGAGAGTGGTGAGGGCAAAATTGCCAGTGTGGCTGTGGGACCAAGATGGCAGCGCTGCAAACAGCTTTACCTGCCAGGAGCAAAGTGCTAGGGGAGGTATACCCAAGCGTTGGGTTTGAGTGTGTGGCCATCCTGGAGAGCTGCAGGAGCCGCAGTTGTGTGTCTGCAGCTGCAGGCAGAGGTGGTCGCACGCTGACATGCGACCTGTTACAGCCCACGTCAGAGTTGGTGAGCAGCCACTGAAATCCTGCTGGGCAGTTGTAGCTGAAAAGCAGAGCTCACCTAAAGTTAGGTGCACTCCTGTGCACTTCAACTGAGGCACGTCAAACAAGCGTGTCTTGTCACTTGTAAAATGTCTCTGCTTGGCCACAGGCTCTGTTGGGTCTCCTCCCACCAGAGACCACGGTGATAGGTTTGAACTTTCTAAGGGGAAAGGAGGTTGTGGGTGCTTAAAGGCAAAAGCCTGGAGAAGTAATGGTCTTAAGGATTGTGCTAGAATGGATTGGATTGGAGGACCAGGATCAACCTTCACCTGGTATCTTCCCCAGGTGATAATCATGGATATTCCAAGATGGATATTCCAAGAAACACCAGCTCCCATTAGCCCTGCAGCTGTCTTGTAGGTCTTGAGATGTCAGACCTTAACCCCCACCCAACTTCTTTCCAGGTTTGAGGAGATGCTTTGTCTTGACTGATCCGGGCTAACCTATGGGAACATCCCAGTGGCTTTGCTGGCAACTGGATCTGGCTGTTTGGCCTGGAGATGCAGTCCAAAACCAGGAATCGCACCCAGGAAGCAGGAGGACTTACAGGAATGACTGAGGAGGGGAAGGAGTGGAGCAGACATCCTTCGCATCCTTCCAGCAGGTTTAGGGCCTGTTCTTTGATGTGTTTTACTAGTCCACAAGCAGAGCAGCCATCCATCCATCCTACTGAATTCCTCCTAAATTCTCCTGTGGCAGCGTGACCAATATGAATGCCAGCAGCTGGAAGACTGAAATAGCAGCTACCATTGCTGAGGCCCCACTGATTTGTCCTGTGGTTTTTCCATGTCCTTTAATCTCCGGTAAATAATCCTTCACTTCCTTGTGGTCTTTCTAATTCCATGCTCTGCACCAGTGCTTCCTGTAAACAGTGGGGCTGGTGGCCCATGCCCGGCCAGCACCGTGTAATTGAGGCTCTCCCCAGCCATGCAAAGGGCATATGACAGGGTTGGTTTGCAGGGGGGATGTGGCCATGTCCGAGGGCTAAATAGTGGAAATGCCTGATTCTCTTCTCCATCCAGCTGGGGGAAGTCAGGGCTGGCTCTGATGGGGCAGTGAATAATACAGGTGTAAAACCAGCCCATGTGAGAGCATGAGACCTCCAGTAATCATGGTTAGGAAAGCAAAGTTGGGCTGTTTTATGGGCGGTGAGGTCCCTCCAGCATGTTTGCACTGGTGCTTGCTTTTATGTGCAGTAGCCATGCCCCATGCAGGAGCTGTGACTGGACCTTGCTCAGCCCTTTATTGTCACATCTGTCCTAAAATTAAAGAGATGAAGACACTGTGCTAAATGAAGGCCCTTCATGATGTTTGTTGCCTCACGAGCTTGATCCTTTGCACTCTTGTAGGTGAGAGGCTTCAGATCCTCCAGGACACTCTGACAGCAGGGGAGGTTTGACAAGGCATTGTTCCAATGAAAATGTCTTCAGCTGTTTCTGTGCAGTAGCTGTAAGATTTGGGTATCAGATACCCATCCTCAAGTGAAAGAATCTGCTTTCTGCAGGTGAGGTTGTGTTAAACTGGTGGTGGATCGAAGAGGGCTGCGACAGGAGCTGGGCTGCGCTTTTCGGGTGGCACAGCTTTTCCCCCACCTGAAAGCTCACATCTCCCTGTGTTTCTCTACCCACAGATACCCGAGTGTCCAACAGGCCATTTCTGCTGGAACATCTTTGCTGCCCATATATCTTGGGCTCTCACTTGTGCCTGTCCTGGCCATCCTTGTACGTGGGGCATCTGCCTGGCTGGAAGATGGCAGTGTGAGTGTGCTGATGGGGGTGGTTCTGGAGATGGACAGGTGCCATCCTGCCGGCCCTGCCAGTCTTTGCAACTTGCAACATTAATGCTTATGTATTTACACAACTATAGGAGGAGTCCTGTAACCAGACCCTTCACACGTGCTCCTTCCCTGCATAGCTGCTTCCAGAAATCTCCGGGTTTCAATCCATTGGCTGTTTCAAGTAAGTCCCAATTTATTCATTTTCTTCTCATGAGCTCCCCACAGCCAAGCCATGAGGGGAACTTGCTCAGTCTTTCAGCATTAACATCTCAATTATCAGAGCACTGGCTGCTCCCATACGAGGATATTGTGTGTGTGTTTTGGCACTCCTTAAAGTATTTTCAGAGCTGAAACGCAAGCAGAGGCTCAGTTTGGCATGGCATTGGGGGCCCTGAAAAAACTGCCAGGAGGGAAAGGCCAACCCCAATTTGTGTCATTTAATGCCATTTAACATCTGTCTTCTTGTTTAGAATGGGACAGTCAATAGCAGATATGTAGTAGAGCTGAGTTTTTCCACTAAATGCTAATGACCCAGTTGCATCCCACCGTGGTGCTTGTATCACATGGAATTGTGTGCATCCTGCAGCTGGCTGATGCACTGAGGCATGAGCAGTGGGCACCCTGCTCTGCATGCTCTGGCCTTGACTAAAGGAAGCTGGGAGGGCTCATGTGAGGAAGCAGGTGGGAAGTTTGTGTTTCTGGCTGCCCATGCAGCTCCGAAATGACTGGATGTTGGCAGGAGCGGTCCCAGAGCATCCCATGGAGATCAGATGGGGGAAGATCATTTCCTTGACCCTTGAAGAAGTGGGAATTGCTGGCTTTTTTCATGACCACTTTTCCCTGTGTTATCACTGGGCTGGCTGTTGGCTGAAACATAGCCCCATGCAAAATCAGACTAAACCAGAACTCCCTCAAGGTGTTAGATGGCTCCCTGAGTCCTCTTCAGCGTCACAGGTGTGGATGAAATTGCCTCATTTGATATGTATTTATGCCTGCTCTCATGGATCTCCCTGGCCTCAGGCTGACCGTGTGCCTCCACTGCTCCATTTTACCTGACACTGGGGATGTGATAAGACTTGAGAGGAGCAGAAAGGCTTTGTCCAGGCAGCAGTAGGAGCCCTTGAGACCTGAAGGCAATAACCCTTGCCTGGAGCTGGTCCTTTTGGCTGCAGGCTCTGCTGAGTTTGCTGGTGGAGAAAACCACTGCGCTGGATCAAACGGCTGTTAAAGGAGACCTCACAAAAGTGAATAGTTTGTGGTCAAGAAGAGCTGCCAGACTCCTGCTTTCTCAGTAACTAATAAAAGTGCTTTTAAAGACAATTAATGTGACGTCGTGCTAAAGACTGAAGGAAATTGGAATTGAGACATCTGTATCTGGACAGCCTCCGTGGAAAACTTCTGTTCGGACTGGTAGGAATGAAACCAATAAATTTCTGAGGAAACTTTCTGCATCCAGCCTTCAAGGTAACAGATAGGCTGTTCTGACTGAGCATAAACAAACTCTGTTTTTCTAAGCGTTTAAAGACCTTCGGGATGACGAAGTGGAACATACTTGTAGTCTCTAAAGATGGGAAGTGGCTTCTCAGTCAAACGCCCTCCTGTGCCAGGGCTCGTATTTTAGACTGAGATCACTCTTTTGTGACTTGTTGACAGGGTTTTTGTTGTACTTTGAGGAAAAAAAGGGAAACTGTCTCAGGCTGAAAATAGCTGTGAAACATTCCCCAGCTGCCCAACCTGTTCTTCAGGAACACTTCCCAGGGAACGCAGAGTTCCAGTGGCAGCCCCAAATACACCAGCTATGAATGCCTGAGCATTGCTCATCTCTTGTGGTGAAGGTGACCACCTGAGGAAGGAAGATTTGGTTCCCAGCAGGAAACACTTAGAAAGTGTACTGTTACGGCAGGAAAGGTGGGAACAGCTCACTCCCTTTTTGCCTCCCCCCCTCATGAAGAACCTACTTGCAATTCTTGCTCTCCCTGGCAGCAGCTGCAGCCATCCCAAAGGCAGGTGGTGAAAAGGCTGGATCAGAGCTCATGGCCTTCTAGAAAAGCATTTGTGCAAGGCTGGGGCTTAATTCTGCAAACCAAACCAAAGCAGATGCAACCCTGAGCCATGGGTGGTGAGCAACACCAAAGCATTACTACTAAGCTTTGTTTGCTTTGTTCTGGGTATCTGCTGGCTGATGTGAACTGCTGGGGGTGTTGGACAGAGGCCAGCAGGATATGCTTTATTTGAACTGAATATAAAGTCACATTTCTGGAGGAAGAAAGATGAGTCACATATACAAGGTGAAGCCCAAACCAGGCTGATGGACTGAAGGGATGTGCGTGCCTGCAGTGGCACATGCCAAAGGATGGTCCTGACACAAGGGTGGCAAGCTGGAGCAGTGTGCCTCAAGGTCAAACACCAGTGTGATGGCCAAGTTGCTGAGGCTCAGAGAAGAGGCACCAGAACATCTCAAGGGGCTGCTCATGGAGCTCTGTCTCTCGGGTTCCTCAAAGAGAACAGGAAGAGAGAGTGGGTCAGGGCTTGTGATGTACAAAGATGATGGAAATAGAGGAGTAATGGGATTTAGGAGGCAAAACCTTACAAGAAAAGGACACCCAATGAATCCAGCCTCTGAAAAAGGCTCTATTATTTAAAAGTCATTAATCAGGGAAGTAACTTAGCAAAGCTTGTGCTGATCCTCCACTGCTGAGAGTGTTATGATCAAGATTGATCCTTGCTCGCCAAAGCAGAAGCTCTAATTCATGTGGAAATGAGTTGAGGTCTTATCTACCCCAGGGAGGAGCCTGGATGGCTGCAGCAACTCACGCTGCCTTTGAGGCTGGCTCAGGGAAAGCAGTTGTCCTTGCCAAGGAGCAGAGGGTCTGGAGGAGGTGCTGAGGCTTTGGCTCATGCACAAGATTGCCCAGGAGCAGGAAGATGCAGCAGCATCCCTCCAGCTCGGCACATGGGCACAGGGGTGGGGGCAGAGGGGGCTTTTTTCTAGCAGGGGAAATTAACGTTCTTGCAGTTAAGTGGCTCACACTCCTTCTGGCTGCAGGAAACGTGTGCTCCTGCCACCAGAGACACCACAGTTGCTACAGCAACTGCAAAGCACAGATTCACCAACACCCTCTCTCTGCCACCCTCCCGAAATAAGGCAGGCCAGGGAAAGTGGTGATGGGGAGACAAAGCAGCTGGTAGGGGTAGCCCTTGGCAGCTGGGGCCAGGGCTGCTGCATGCTCTGCTCCTGTCCTGCTGTGGCCAGGCTCCAGGCACCGCTGTGTTCCCATCAGCCCTGACGAGCACTTGATTTCCAGGTCAATAGGATTTCATCCACTCAATCTGCAACCCAGGGGTGGCTGAGCAGAGCACGTAGCTCCCCAGTCTGCCTTCCCAACCCATACATGTCCCCTGCTGGGACCTGCAGGAAGGCAGTGCTAGGTCAGGTACTCAGTGCTTGTTCATGCGCTGGGGCTGGTGCAGGAGCTGTCAGGATGAGGATGCGATGCTGGGGATGCTGCGGGGAGCACCACAGCAAGGGGAGGCAGTGGGAAGCTAAAACTGAACCGTGCTCTGCAAGCACCTGCCAGCTCCTTGCTATTTAAATGTGGTTCTCCGTGGTTCCCAGCGCTGTGCATCCTGCCTCGGCAAAAGCACATGCTTTCCCCCGGTGCTCCTCTCTTAAATATTTAATGGCAGGAGGAAGAGCTGTTTGAAGAAATGCTCCAGTGCTTCCATGTGAACAGAAGGTTGGTTCAGGTGGCTGCTGCAGACAAGAAAGCTTTGCCTGTAATTTTTCAGGATCCTTCAGCTATTGAAGGGGCGGCAGCACGATGATGCACAGTAGTGGGGAAAGGAGAGGTGGTTTAGGTGCCCGGGGACAGTAAGGATGCCTGGGATCTGTCCTGCATCCTCTTCCTGACCCTGTGGTGCTGTGGCTTGGTTTCTTACGTAAAACACTTGAAAGAGTTTTCAGTGTTGGAGCTTGAGTGAAAAATGCTTGAAGATCACCTGCCCCCAGATCTTAGGTGGGCACTCTGTCCTCCCCACCACCTCTGGATGTGTTGGGTTTGTCAGGTGCCAAGGGTAAACAGAGATTTAGAGGCATCCCCTTGCCAGAGAGTCCCTAAGGATTTATTGGAATTCATGAAGTGGTTTGAAAAGCCTGCATAAAATCATTGCAGAAGGAAATGTGTTTTAATCCTGGCCAAACTGTAAATCAGGCCATCCTTAATACAAATACTGAAATGAGGCTGATGCAAGAGGGGAGGGTCTGTACTTCTCCTTTATTTTGCAGTCCTTGTCCCAGTGCATCCACTCCTATGGGGACCAGTTCAGTTATTGATGACACTCAGAGCAAACCTGCACATCAGGGTGTGGGATAGCAGCAGGGCTAAAGGAAGTGTTGCCACAGCCCTTGTTATCTTATCTCCCTAATAAAGCCCCTTGCCCCCCAGGGCAGCTGGTGTCAGGCTGAAACTGGTGGCCTCAAGCACCATTTCCAGAACAAGTGACAAGTGTATTTAAACCAGTCAGACAGCCCAGGCACAGCATGCAGGGTGGTCTGCGCTGGGCTGGGGCTCAGAGAAACACAGCCAAAACCCATATGCAAAGTGACATTAAAATGCAGGCTTTCGTAGTGGGAACTGTGAACTCCACAGCCAGCCTGTTTGCCAGTCCCAGCCCCTTCCCATGCAGCTGGGGTGCAGTTATGTTTTCGTTTGAATTATGTGCAAAGGAGGGGGTCACTCGTTTCTCAGCACTGACTTTGTGACAGGGCAGGGCAACTGGGCTGCTCAATAATTTATGGCAGCGTTTGTTGAACTTCCTTTTGCTGCCACCCAGGGTAAGAAGCAGCCTTCCAAGAGAGATGGGCTGATTGCAGTGAGCCCTGAGAGCATGCACAGAGCGCACCAAGAGGTATTTGCATTAGTGGTTTTGATGGGGATGTGATTTCTTCATTGGTACGACCTACTGAAAAGATCTTGATACAAAACCACAGCTAAAATGAAGCAGCAGATGCAGCCGGGTGGATTTCTGCACGTCTAAAGACAGGGAAAGAAATAGCACAAGATCTGCTTGGTGCTGCAGGGGGAAGGATTTCAGTGCTGCTGAGCAAAGCACACAGCTATCTCTGCATCCCGGGAAAGCTGAGATGGTCCGTGGCTGTAGCGGGCAATCCAGCCAAAGGAAAGCATGGGAGTGGGGGCATGCAGGGGAGTGCCGCCAGCTTGCAGAAGGTAGAGCTGGTTTGCCATCCTATTGCTTTCTGTGCGCTAGGCAGGGAAGGGAGCTTTTTAACTGAATTCTTAGAAATACAGTGGTAGCCTCCTACAGGGCTGGTTTCACACACTGCACTGCTCTGCTTCCATCTCCAGCAGGCAAGTGGCTCCTGTGCCCACATCCATAGCTTGTAAGAAGTGTAAGAGCTGGGAGCAGCAGACAGAGATGCCCACACTGGACCAGGTCCCACGTGTTTTCTTTGGCAGGGGTCTGCCTGCCTGCACGAGACTGGCCCAGCTCTTCCTGCTCCTGAGGGTGAAAAACTCCTGAGGCTTTGCTGATGGAGCGGTCAGAGCAAGGCCAACCACGTCAGGCCACATCCTGCCCCGCTGCAATAAGTGAGATCATGAGAATATTACTGTGTTGACAGAATCAGCTGTTCCTTAGAAAATATTAAACTTTAGCAAGCAGCTTAGGAAGTGCCCCTGCTGCTAGGAACTGGGGAAGTGCCAAAGGAGAGGTTTCTTTTTACTCTTTCCCTAACTATTTACTCCTGACAGGGTCAGATGCAATAGCCAGGGATGGAAGGATCTCTGCGCTGCCCCAGGCAGTTTGATAGCAGGTGACAGCGCTTTGCATAGCTGCAAATCCTGCATGCCAAGAGGTGATTTGAAACCCATCTCCCAGTGCAAGTCAAAGGAGAATGACAATGCATTATCTCCCCTTCCCTGCCCCCCCCCCCCCCCCCCCCATCATCTGTGTTAACAAAGAAAGCTTTTGGAGCCACTAGCTAGAGGTAGTATTTGTCAAAAACCTTCTGTGCCCTAAGCCACCTCACCCAAGAGAACAACGCAAACCTGAAGTGATGAATGTCCCTTGTCACCTGCACCTCTCTGGGATGGGGTCTGAAGGCAGCAGAAAGTTTCTGGTCCTGGAAAGCCCCAAGCCCCTGTCCCAGGCCCCCCCCCCACTCATCCTGTTGAGTCCATTAAGGAAAAGAGGGTTAAGGTGCTTCACGTCCTGGAAGCTGCTGATGTCATATAAGCATTATTTTAATGGATGCTTCATTTATTGCAGCACCCATTGAGCAATTAGCAAGTCCTTCCCTGCTATATGTTAGCTTCTAGCATGGGATTTCACTGGAGGTGAGAAAAGGGAGTGTGGAGCACACAGCACCTGGCAGGATCAGGCCCTGCTTATCTCCTTCCCCTTCCCCAGCTCTGCTTAAGCAATAACCTACTTTCTTGCTTTGCAGAAAGAACATCTTGGATTACATTGCTGCAAATGAAAGGTTTCAGTCATGGTATCAGATGAGCTGCAGGTAAGCACTAGTTTTAATGTCAGCTTTTTTTGGCAGCTTCTTTATTCCCTCTCCGCTTTGCACAAACAGCCCGTTTTTGTGTGGAAGTTCATTTTCCTTTTTAGCTGCAGCAGTTGTCAACATGGCTTCCCAGTAATCCTCTCCACGCAGATAAAGGCGAGCCAGCAGCCAAACTGGATCCCTCACCTGGAGGCTGAAAACCAGCCTGCTGCCTACTCCAAAACCAGTGCTGGTTCATTAAAGGACTCTCCCCTCTATCACAGTCCCTTGCTGCCACGGAAAAGGGCAGGAGTTGTGCCCACAGGATGGATCCTAAATCCCAGGTGGGATTCCATTTCCAGTCCCATTTGTCTTTAACTCCATCCTAATGAGCCCTATGCAATTAAGGCAGATGCATCAAAACCCAGGACTCCAGGGGTCTGGGATGGCAGAGTGCCTTTCTGTTTGCATTAGGAAAATCAGAGCATCATCCACTGCACTCCAGTCCAGGATATAGGGAGGGAAATTGAAGCTTTCCTGATAATTCACTTTGGCTGCCTCTGTCCTTTACTTGTTCATTCTTTTTTTAGCCTCACAGGGCCCTCAGACCAACATATCTAAACACTGTATTGCTTTATATTAAAAAGCAACCCACAAATACAAACTGCAGTATAAAGCTGCACGCCCTGTGGGTTGCCAGGATGAGACCCTGCCCAGTGTTTGCACTGCCCCGGTTTAACCAGCAAAGGCAGGAGAAGGGCCTGACTGTGCCAGGCGGAGCAGCACCCACCTTTGCAGACCCCACAGCTGGCTGCTTCCCTTTGGTGCTTGCTGGTTTGGAAGACTCTGACTTGCAGCCTCATTAACTGCTTCATTTCTGCTAATTTGCACTATCCCACCCCCAACAGCATCATGGAATTCTCCAGCAGTGTGAAGGCAGCATGAGCTGAACTGCCTTTGCTGCTGAGCTGAATAGCATCAGTGCTCGTTTTACTGCTTAAAAATCTTTATGGAATCAATCAGGTTGATGAATAATCCTGTTTAAAGAAACCATAACAGAGATTCTGGCCTAAATTTGGATACAGCACTCCCCTGGATACTCCCCTGTAACTGGATACAACACTCCCCTAAACAGGGGAAGTTTAGATTGGATATAAGGAAGGTGAGGCACTGGAATGGGTTGCCCAGGGAGGTTGTGAATGCTCCATCCCTGGCAGTGTTCAAGACCAGGTTGGACAGAGCCTTAGGTGAGATGGTTTAGTGTGAGGTGTCCCTGCCCATGTTAGGGGGTTGGAACTGGATGATCTTAAGGCCCTTTCCAACCCTGACTGTTCTGTGATTCTGTGATTCTGAATTTGTACATCGAGAGATGAACCCTAATGAGAAACAAAATGAAAGGGCTCTGCACAGCACAAGTTTGGTGCTGCACAGGTTGAATCCTGGTAAGCAGCTCTGTCCATCCCCCTGTGCCTGCGCAGGAATGGTGCCTGGCTTCAGACAACCTGCACAGGCAGCAATTCTTTTTCCTCAACTTGTGGCTCTTGAGCCGCAGCACCTTTGAAACGTGCCATGGGCTCACAGAGGCCACGTGCAGCCTGTGGGGTGAACCGCAGCCCAAACCGCTCTCCGAACAGCGGGGGTTCCGTGTCCTCGTCATAAATTCCTCCCGAACAGTGTTGCAGGAATTACTGGGATGTGAGGAGAGAGGAGGCTGCCTGGAGGTGAGACAGGCTTATCCTTGGAAGCCTCCATGCTGCAGAGCCCAGGGCTGCGTTTGGCACCCTGCACGGGGGAGATGTCGGTGGAGGCTGAAGGCTGCCTCGTGCTGTAGGAACTCACCAGTCCTCTCACCAGCCAGCTAAATGGGAGATAAATCTCCCTATTAACAATGCATAAAGCATGCCAAAATGTGAGCACCTTCCCAGGCGGGAGGTGAAGCAAAAGCTCAAAATAACTTTAAATCCTTCCTGGCTCGAAAGTGGCTGTGTCGGCGCTCCCCATAGCATGCCTGGCTGCCTGGTGGGAGCGCGGGGTGCTGAGCAAGGCTGTGCTGTGCTTTTCAGCACGATGGATGTGAGAATCGGGTCAAAAATAACCCCATCCCAACGTCAGCAGCAGAGCTGAGAGGAACCAGAAGTCCTGAGCTGTTTCGAAGGCGCGTTAAATAATAAAAGCAAGGAGATGAATAAATTAGCTCAGCATCTATTTAGGTCAGCCCTCTCTGCTTCTCCCAGCCGCCTCCGTGTGCCTCCTCCCCTGCCGCCATCAGCTGCTCCGCGCATGCTGTGCCTGCGCATCCGCTCGCTCCTTCCCAGCAGCCGGGCTCTCTGGGGGTGCAGGGTGAGCAGGTGTCACGGCGGCTTCACCCCGGCCTTGGGAGGCGTCAGCAAAACTTCCAAAGTATTCTGGAAAATCCCATTAAAGTGATGGGATTGAGCGCACGCGGCTGCTCCCTTCCGGGCGTTCTCCCCTACACGCAGCCCTGCACGGGCCGCCTTGCATCTGCCCGGAGCTCTGTCTCCCTGCTTTGCTTGGGGCAGCCTTGGGCATCCATTCCCAGCTTCCAGCCACAGCAGCCTCTTCACCTTTGCAGACCGTGCTTCTGCACCTTGCAGGTGCCCCAGGTTCACTTCATGTGCTTGAAGTCATCATTTGTTGATTTGGGTCCACCTGGCCCCGGGTGATTGACACACAGTAACTGTAACAGCTTTTAAAGCCCTAAGTTCCCCTTATGTTATTCAAAAGCCTCCAGAAAAATGCAGCTACCATGCAGTCATAGAATCACAGAATAGTTAGGGTTGGAAAGGACCTTAAGATCATCCAGTTCCACCCCCCCTGCCATGGGCAGGGACACCTCACACTAAACCATCTCACCCAGGGCCTTGTCCAACCCGGTCTTGAACACTGCCAGGGATGGAGCATTCACAACCTCCCTGGACAACCCATTCCAGTGCCTCACCACCCTCACAGGAAAGAATTTCCTCCTTAGATCCAATCTAAACTTCCCCTGTTTATATCTTTGTTTACGTGTTTCCCAAGCCTGGAAAGCCCTTTCTGATGTCTAGAACGTCTCATGGTTCTTGGCTATCAGCACGCTGGATACACGCTCACCAAGTAGGAATTTATCTGTATCAAGGGCTGCTCTGTCTCAGCCCAGCACCTGCATTGCCAAAACTTAGAGGAAACGCAACTGAGCTGGTCCTCCCCAAGCCTGCAGGTAGCTGGAGAAGGTCTCCAGTGACGAGCCCAGCCAGAAGCATCATCCAGGGTGTAGGCAATGGAAAATGAGATGTTACTAAGTTTGGCCAGGCTTAGCTGGCTCCTCACGGGTCCCAGCCTGTGAGTCACCGGTACGTGGGCCACCAGCACAACCTCCCCGCTGGAGGAAGGAGCGGAGGTGGAAAAATAACAGGAGGAAACCAGTTGTTAGTAGTGCCAGCTCTGGGGAGAGCGGGAGGAGGTGGCAGGCCTGGCGAGAAAGGTCACGGCTGTACTGTAGGCTGCTGCCTGCTTTGTCTGCCTGCCTTCATGGTGGGAAGCTGCTTACAGGAACACGTGTGCAGAGGGTCTGGGATGGTCTCTGTGGGGAATGAAGGCCTCCAAGGCAGCCAGGAGCGATGGAGCTTTTGTTCACAGTCCCTGCTCTCCTGTCTTCTGGATGCTTCTCTGGTTCCTGCTGGGCTAAGATTGATTATCGTGCCGAAGGAAACCCTGGCCCACTGCAAACACTGTAAAAGAAGGCATGCTTTGCAGGTGTACTTGGAACAAACACGTCTGTCCCCCCACTGTGGCTAAACACCAGTGCAAAGTGTTTGTTCCCTAGTCCCTGCCCCATCATTTGCTGATGCTCATCTGTAGCTAACCCAGGGACTCTCTTGCTGTTTGCCCTGAGCTGTGGTGACAGTGATGGGAGCGGGAGATTCAGACAACTAGATCTTGAGGCAGTGACCCTGTTCCTCCTCCAAAGCCAGCACAATGAAAACATTGCTGAGGGGAATAAAAGCCCTGCCTCTCTCCAGCCTCTTCCAGTGGCCCAGCTCTCCTCATGTGCTGAGTACACCAAGCAGAGCACACAAGCCTCAGTTACTGTTCCCAGGTCCCTGCCGTCAGCCCAGGGGCACTTGCAGGGCTGTGTCACAACAGCT